TCTCCAGGCTCAACAACCCCAACTCTCTTAGTCTGTCCTTATAGGAGAGGTGCTCCAGCCCTCTGATCATCTTTATGGCCCATCTCTGGACTCGCTCCAACAGATCCATTCCCTTCGTATATTGGGGTCCCCAGAGCTGGATGCAGTACTGCAGGGGGGTTTCATGAGAGCGGAGGAGAGGGGCAGAATTGTCTCCTTCAGCCTGCTGGCCAGCAGACAACTCGCACATGCAGGTGTCCCCCTACACTTGTTCATGGTTTTGCTCAACACTGTTACCCTCTCATGTTTATGCTTTCGTCGCAGTTTTCCAGTTTATAGTCTTAATTTGTATTGTTAATACCATACAGTGTGTAACTATAATTAGTAGGCAACAGATAAAATACAAAACCTAGTTGGGTATTTTTTGTGTAGCACGTTTGTGTCTTTTACCCAGGGCTTTTAAGAAACAATGATAAATTTGTTTCAGGGTGCTTCTTCAGAACTGTGCAAAGTCCACAGTAGCTTAGTGAACACGTGCTTGTATAACAATATATACAATTGATTTATTAGTGCGTACGTAGAAAAAGAGGGATGGGAAAATGGAATTTAAATGAGAAAAGAATACTGAGAATGAGGAATCCCATTCTTGAAAAGGAAGGCAATTAAGTAGAGTTTAGGTGTTCGGATGAATTGACTTTTCCCACTGCCATTCCCCTGGGGACCACCACAGTTGCTCCCAGTGCTAGGTGCTTTTTTGTATATGTATAACACACTGTGTACGCCCACTTTATTGCGTTTGGTGCTATCACGTGTTACCTACCACAGAATTCAGCTTTTCTGTTTAACCCTCATTCCCATTCCACAAGTGAACCACTTGTAATGTGTGAGAGAAGGCCTGTAAATAGTGACTTATGTAAGGACTTTCCCTCCCACTCTGCAGCTCATCTACCCTCCCTACTACAGAGCTTGTTAATTAGGGCAGCTGCTTTGGCAGTGGATTAGTTGCTCTTGGTAGGTCTGCAGAGTTAAACCTCGGGCAGCATCCTTCTCCACCTCATTACCCTGCCACTATGCTCTGTCCATGAAAACAAACAAATCTGCAGAGTTACTTAGGGATCAGTGGAACAAAGGAGCTATTTAGTCTTCTGGTATATTGGTCTTTTTAAGAAAAGAAGAAAAAGGGAGCACAGTATAATAGACCTACAAAAGCAAGAGCTGTATTTACAGAAATTAATAACCTATGTTAATTGTTTGGGGTTGACTGCAGATAACCTGATGATGAATCATCATCAGCTTGAAAGTGAACATCACTAATGTTGTTGGCATATAGCTTAAGAAAATAGAGAATAGTGTAGAAAATGGGTGGATTTAAAATGGTTACCATATGCTTACAATGAGGGCAATTGAAAATTCTCCCCGTCTGTTCTCTCCTCCAAACTGCATTGTAAACACCACCACCCAAATTCACTGGAGGGCAGGGATGAAACAACACTTAACATTTCCAAGGTATTCTTATGGTTCAGTGGTGATGTGTGATAACTCAACATACACCTTAAGAATCCAGACTATTTGAACATAAGCAGTGGAGGTGGTTAATCAGGAGTATCTATGAGGATGCTGCATTTTTCTTTTTTATGTGTAATGTTCACACATGTGCTTGGAGTGATGGCATCTTGCTGGCTTTTTTTCCACATTGTTTTAGTTTCAATGTATCTCTCTTTTCAGGACTTCAGTCTAGTATCCTGTGATCACAAAAAATGATTTTTGAAGAACAGACAACTGATATGAAAAGGTTAAAAGAAAATCTGTCTTTTAGTTATGTGTGGATTCCATTTTACAATTAGTTTTATGGCTTTTTTAAATCACCTGCTTCGGGAGTTCTACGTCGATCCTTGTTGAAATCCATCACTGAAACAATTCTGTAGTGTTCATTTCAGCCTCTGGTGCTGAACAGTTGGCCAAACTATAGCGTTAATATTGCAAGAAGACAGCTTTTAGCTGATCGTA